TTAATAAGTGGCTGGTACTTCTCAGGTAATGTGGTACATTCTTTTCATGCACACAAACTTCACCAAAACACTAGGAGGTAGGTGATATTTATTCATCATCCCATTTACAGGTCAGGAAGCTGAAGCAAGAGAGCTTCAGTAGCTGTCTAGAGCTACATAGTCAAGAAGCAGTAGAACTAGGATTTGAACCCATGTCTGTTTGGATGTTAAACCACACAATTAATATCATGTTATTAAACACAACGGTGTTTAATTATTATGATGCATTACTTTTGACTTTTTCCCCCAAACATCCCTTCCATTGTTTTGTTTTATCATGAACTGCCTATTTTAAAGAGCGTATGTACTAAATAACTATATGTACAAAATAGTTATTAATGTACTGTCCAGTTTTTTAAAAAAGTTTTATTTATTTATTTATTTATTTATTTATTTATTTATTTATTTGAGATGCAGAGAGAGAGGCAGAGGCAGAGACATAGGCAGAGGGAGAAGCAGGCTCCCTGTGAGAAGCCTGTTATGGGACTCGATCCCAGGACCCCAGGATTCACAACCTGAGCTGAAGGCAGATGCTCAACCACTGAGCCACCCAGGTGTCCCTATCTAGTTTCTTTTTAACAAAAGCTAACACTATTCTAAGAACAGCAAAATACTAATATTTTACTAGTATTTTAGTAACATTTGTAAAGTGCCACATATTGTTTCATTAACTCCTCAACAAGTCAGGGAAGTTGATCTTATTTTTTCCATTTCATAAATGAGGAATCAGAGCCCTGGGGGTGGCTGAATTCCCCAAGATCATGCAGTTAGTAAAAAGCAGAGCTGGGATTTGCACTCTGATTCCAACTTTATTCCTTTGAGCTGGTTTCTTCTTACTTCTAATGGTCGTGAACTGACCAAGGCTTCCAGATGGAGTGATTGTAATTGCAGCCAACAAACACAAAGAATTATAAAAAAAACAAACTTATGCAACTACATCATGGGTAACTATATTATTTTCAAGGACTACCTTTTTGTTACCACAGATAACCAGTCAGTTTTCACTAAGATTATGTATAGGAGAAATATCAGGAGTGGGGTGCCAGGGAGGCAGTCAGTTGACTATTAGTTTCTGCTCAAGTCATGATCTCAGGCTCTGTGCTCAGTGGTGGAGTCTTCTTGATACTATCTCTCTCCCTTTTCCTCTGCCCCTCCACCTGCTTGCTTGTGTGCACATGCGCTCTCTCCCTCTCAAATAAATAAATATTTTTTTTTAAAAAAGGATAAATATCAGAAGCATCATTGGCTCACTTTGTATTCATTTTAATACAATTTTTGTGTAAGTAATATCATGGTATAGTAATAGCAATAATAGTATAAAATAATGTAATAAAAATAATGGTTGCTATTTCTGGAGAACTACTATGTGTCTGGCTTTTTTTAAATTTTTTATTTATTTTATGATAGTCACACACACACACACAGAGAGAGAGAGAGAGAGAGAGAGAGGCAGAGACACAGGCAGAGGGAGAAGCAGGCTCCATGCACCGGGAGCCCGACGTGGGATTCGATCCAGGGTCTCCAGTATCGCGCCCTGGGCCAAAGGCAGGCGCCAAACCGCTGCGCCACCCAGGGATCCCCTGTGTCTGACTTTATGTTAAGCATTTGGTGTACATTTTCTTCTTCAGATCCTCTGCCCAAAATATGTCATCTCTATTTTGCACAAGCCCAGCTTTTAAGAAGTTAAATAAGATGTACAAGATTGTGCTAATGTGGGCCTTGAAATGTGGGTCCAGGTCTATTTGGCCCTAAAGTCTAGGCACTTAGTCAGTGCAATACACTATTGAACATCATCCACTTTGAAATAAGCCTATGGGACTTCCAGGCACCTTACCAGGAGAATCTTATCCTTTGAGACAAATGAGTGTTTTGGGCAATTGTCTGATAATCTTTCTAAAACATCGTGTCCTTGGAATAGAGGTGAAGTCGGGGTGGTTGGCATTTCCCAGATCCAGAATTGTAGTGAAGACCATTCTAAATGGTTCTTTTTGAATTTTGATTCTAAGAAGTAATTTTTCTAGCTGGTGCTCATCTTTCCCACTTGACATGAAACTTTTTTTTTAAGATTTTATTCATTTATTTGAGAGAGAGAGAGAGAGAGAGAGAGAGAGAGAGAGAGAGAGAGAGCAGGAGGGAGAGGGAGAGAGAATCTGAAGCAGACTCTGTGCTGAGCACAGGGCCCAAAGCAGGGCTCAATCCCACAACCAAAAGATCATGACCTGAGATGAAACTGAGAGTCAGATGCTTAATTGATTGAGCCACCCAGATGCCCCTTGACATGAAACTTCTTAAGGACAAGCTCCTTGAAGATACTCCATAGACCCTGGGTCCAGTGTATGACACATAATAGGGGCTTAATAAATGTCTTGTGTTGCTGTGGATTAATAGAGGAGAGAGGTAAGAGATGTCTTTTTCTTTCCTAGAATGTGAAGAGGGAGAGAATGCAAAGATACTAGACTTCATGAACACAAAGATGAAATCTTTGGGGGTAGGAGGAGAGGAAGTTATGAATGGAGTAGAATGATATAAAGACAACCTGTGGCTCCTCCCCCTGTTTGCAGTGATTAGCTGTGTGGTTTTAGATGAGTCTATTTTCTGCTTCTGAGCTCATGTTTCCACAAAGGATCATGCTACCTGCTTACCCTTACAAGAGAACGGTTATGAACAGTATAAAACAGAGCATATTGGAAACACATGGGGAATAATAAAACAATATAAATACAATGGCTATGGTGTCAACCACAACAACGATAAAGAACATTTCCTTGTGTTCATTACCTACTTGGCATTCTTCATACGTTGTCCTCACAACAACCTTGTGTGTCATTATCTCAAGTTTACAGATGAGGAAACTTTGAGATATTATCATGATTAATTATATAATTATAAAATGCACAAAAAAGTCTTGACATTTGCCTAGCTTTCTGGGAGATGGCAAAGTAAGGGAGTTGGGGAACCAGGCTTAGAACTTTTTTCGCCAAAAAAGCAACTGTTCCTATTAAGTCTAATTCAGAATGTGCTGGGAACATCTGTGCAAAATAGATTCACAAGGAATTTTTAAAAACCAATTTATTAAGGTGTGATAAACATACGGAAAGCCATGCATATTTAATGTATACAACTTGAGGAGTTTGGGGATAAGTATATACCCTTGTAAACATCACCATAATCCATGTCATAAACATATCTGTCTGCTCCAAAAGTTTTCTTCCACCTGCTTTATTATTATTATTATCATATTTTAAAGAGATTCTTGAAAAATGGAACTAGCTCTTCCAATTAAACATTTTGTTCTACTCATGGTCTGAGGAAATACCCGGATTCTCCTGGAATGGACCCCCTAGAGACGCCTGGATTGAATTAAAGCAGCTCATTCTAATGCCAGCTGGCCAGAGTTTGGGCAACACCATCTTCTCCTCCTTGCTGTGTTGAAGAAACAAAGATAATGACACTTTCCCAAGGCTGGGGCTGGGTAAGTCTTAATTTGGGAGTGTTTGGAAATGACTTTGAAGATGCAAAGGTTATTTAAGTGCTATGTATTATTATTTATTGTGGTTCCAAGCACTGTTTCTCCTCCCCATTGTCAGGCTACAAAACAATAAGAGATGTGGTAAAAGAGCCTCTGAAGTATCCAAACATCAATAAATTAGGTAACTTTGGCCCGAGCCCTGCGATGGTATCTGCAAACCTAGCATTAGCTCTGCAGCATTTTTGTGTGGGCTGGTGGTTGCCTAATTTGCACTTAAACACGCCAGCAGCAGGCCCTGGCACAGGTTTGGCACACACAGGTGATGCAAGCACTCTTTGGACAGACCTGGATTGCTGACATCATGCTTTGCTGTGTGCTCTTTGAGATGTAAATTAGCTTCTAGAGGAGCCCCTGGTCCTTTCATCATTAACACTTAATGGAAGAGAATTAACATCCATTGAGCCCTTCTGTGTGCCAGACTTTTATGAACATGATCTCATTTATTCTCATAACTATCCAGAGAAGTGGATGTGAGTGGCACCATTTTACAGATGAGGAAACTGAGTCTCATGGAAGTTGAATAATTTGCCCTTGATCATCATCAGTAAGAGGCCAAATTAGGATGGAAACCCCGGACTGTCTGGTTCCAAAGGCCATGATTTTTTATTATGTTAAACTGTAGGTACAATGCACCCCTGGACTCCCCACCCCAAATGTCTGGTCAAGTTCTCCAGTTCCCTGGTAAAATTCTTTGGTGCTTTTCCATTGCTCTAAATACCATAAGGACCACATCCTTCTATGACCCTGCACCATCTGCCTCGGGCTCCCTCTCCAGCTTCATCCAAAGCCCTGCTCCTTTATTTCTGTTCCTTGAACCCAAACCTCTCACCTCTGGGTTTTTGCACAAACTGCCCTTACAAGTTTATCTTTTCCTTTTTACCGCAGCTAACTCTTGCAAACCGTTACACATCATTTTCTGGGGGGACTGCCTTCTGTGAAAATACAGACCAGCAGTTCTCTGAGTGTGGTCCCTGGACCAGCAAAGAGTAGCATCACCTGGGACCTTGTGAGAAATGCAAATTCTCAGGCCCCACCCCAGCCATACTGAATCAGAAACTCTGGGCAAGGGGCCCAGTCTCCAGGTGATTCTCTGCTGGCTTAAGTTTGAAAATCACTGGGGTTTCTAAATCTTGACACTACTTATATTGTAGAGTGTTTAGCAGCATGCTACCTTTTATCTGTTAGATCCCAATACACTCCCAGCCATGTCCCCACCTCCATCCAAGTTGCAAAAGGCGACAATGTCTTCAGTCACTGCATTATGTCTCCCGGGGGGACTCTGGTTGGGAATATCTGCCTTAAACTAAAGTATGACTTCCATTGAGAAATCCTTGCAGCACTCTCAACGGGGAGTTTAATTAGTTAATAACTTTTGGAAAACATTTGCTCAAGGCACTTCTCTACTGTCCTATTTGCAGCAGCTGATGCACTGCCTGTCACCCAGTAGGTTCTCAGGAAATAGGACTGTACCAACCAAGTGACATGGCAGGCTGACACCACACCTCTTTAATCCAACCTTGTACTGAATTTTTGGGAGGAGACAGGACTTGGGGGCTGGAGTGGAATCACAGGCAAGCAGGATCCTAAAGATACTTCATAATTTAAAGGTACGTCTCCTCCATCAGAACCCTGGGAACATAGGGGATCTTTCATGCTCAGCTGAACAGGACTTAGTACTGCTTCTTTTAGCAGCAGAGAATGTGACTAAATGCAGGAGAGAGAAAAAAAAAGTTCTTAGAATGATGCAGAAAATCCTGACCAAAGGTAGGCTCAGTGCCACTATCACGGAAAGAGAAAAACCATATTCTGGCCACAACAGCAATAATGAGATTGTTAACTTGTGGCTGAAGTCTTTCTATAGATGATAGATTTAACGAGGACTGTCAAAGGCTGATTCTGACTCTTCAGCTGCCCACATTTGCTCAGCCTGAGAAGTAATTTCTAGAACCAAGGCAGAGGAGAGCCACAGAGTTGAGGAAGAATGGAATTCTTACTCACATCTGTTTTGTTAATTGATAATCAACTCCATCCTCCTGGCTCCATAATGAAGTGGGGGTGGACACAGAACACTTAGTTGGCCACATTGACATCGGTACTTCACTACTCCTAGGAATGAAGCCTGTCGCGTCTCATAGGAAATATTGAAGACACATGGTTAATGTCAGCTCTCACATAACCTAAACGATCTTGCATTTTGGGAGCTGCAGTTGCGGTGTGAGAAGATACGAACCTAAGGAGCAATTTTTGTTGAGTTTATATTTTTTTCTCAAAAACTTTTTTCTTGTTTTAAAAATTTTTATTCATGATGAAATTTTGAAAGGAGGAAGAGAAATGAGGAGAATAGATTTTTTCTCTCTCAAAATTTTCATTTTTGTTAACAGACTGTACCAACAAATTACTTTCCTTTTTTTTACTTACTGTTACCTTGTAAGCCTGTCTCCAAGTTTTTGCAAAGTGACATCATTTTCAAAGTGATCCTTAAATTCGATTTCAATTCATCCCAAATGTAAGATCATTAAAATGCCCCCAAATTAGAAACAAAAAATACATATTCTAGCCATCCAGAGAGCACATACTAATGTACTTAAAGCTAAAGACTGAGCTCACAAATTTATTGACACCAGAGTTTAAAAAAAAAAACCCAGTAATTATGAGTTTACTAATCTACAATTTATAGTAATTTGCATATGACTGGAGCAATAGCATAATTTCAAACACTTTCATTTTAAAAATTTATTTATTTATTTAGAGAGAGAGCTCCATTGGGAGGAGGAGCAAGAGGGGAGGAGGAGGAGGAAGGAGTAAGGAATCTCAAGCAGACCCCATGCTCAGCATGGAGCCCAATGTGGGGCTACATCTCATGACCCTGAAATTATGACCTGAGCCAAACCCAAGAGGTGGTCATTAAATAGACTGAGTCATCTAGGTACTCCCATCTTCATTTATGGTCTATATGACAAATTGATATAACCAATCTCATTGCAGCATTTGCTGTCATGTAAATAGCTTTACAACAAACATCTTATGTATCAGAATTTTTTTCCCTGAAATCAAAAGCATTTTCTTTGAAATGAGGTCAGAAATTCAATCATTGGTTCTAAAAATATGAAATATTTTTTGGAGTGTCTGGGTGGCTTAGTCGATTGAGCATCAGACTCTTGATTCAGGCTCAGGTCATGATCTCTAGATTATGAGCTTGAGCCCTGCATTGGGCCCCGTGCCAGCTTAAGATTTCCTCTCTCCCTCTCCTACTCTTTCTCTCTCTAAAGAGAGAGAGAGAGAGAGAGAGAGAGAGGAGAGAAAAGAAAACTATGGATGCATCTTACCTTGATAAAATTTCCAATAAAACTGCTTTCCAAGTAATATTTCCATTAGTGATTTTTGAGTGTGCCTATTTAATTTATCCTTGTCAATATCAGGTGATATTTAAAATATATATGATAGAGAAGACTGCACCTCAGGGTTTGCATTTATTGGATGATGGCTCAGATTGAAGGAGACCAGCTGGTACGTGTATCTGTTTTGAGGCAGACACAGTCCATTGTATCTCACCCGGCACCCTACAACATCAGGAAGATCAGTTCAGCTTGATCAGAGTTCAGGTGTTTTTCTGCCGGAAATTTGTCTTTCATGCTTACAGTCAAGAAATTCATTTTAAAAACTGGCAAAAAGAATGCCTTCCTTCCCCACCTCGAAATAAATTCAAATTCCCATGAGAGCCAGATGTCTCCTTGCAGGAGTTAAAGATAATTTGCAGGCAGGCATATTTTCTACAGAACCAAATTGCTGAAGGGAGTTGTAACCTGGTTTCAAATACTCTTGGGTTGCTTCACTCGGAGCTCCTTTTTGTCATTGCAATTAGAGCAGAGGAGACTAAAAGCTAAGTGTAGTTGTCCAAATGATGGAGAAAAAACACACAAAACGAGGAAAACTATTTTTCCCTCCTCCCTTCCACCCCCTGCCGCCTTCGCCTTCCTTCTTCTTCTTCTTCTCCTTCTCCTTCTCCTTCTCCTTCTCCTTCTCCTTCTTCTTCTTCTTCTTCTTCTTCTTCTTCTTCTTCTTCTTCTCTTCTTCTTTTCTCTCTCTCTCTCTCTCTCTCTCTCATTCTCTTTCTTCATGAGGCATCTATCTAGTCTGTGGTAGAAAATATGGCAAATAGGGATTCATTAGGATAATGAATATACTACAATATGACTATTAATAACCTTGGCTTATTAACTGGTTAGGGCAAAACCTAAATTAGCTGGACCAAATGAGTTCAGTCCATTTAATTTATCAGCTCATTGGTAAATTAAAATTTCAAACTAATTAGGGATTTCAATGCTTTTGTTCCCCTTCAACTCTGGTTGTTAAAACCACTTTTTTCCTCCTGAAATGCATTTCCCTGTTTTCATTTTTTAACCAGGGAGGTGTCCGGTGATGGTGATTAAATTTTCCTAGAGAGAAAACCTTACCAAATCTTTATTCTGTGTAGGGACTGAAGTCCTATTGTAGGACTAGTCCTGGTGTAGAACTGTAGGTGCTGTTATTAGAGGCAGGAACTCACTTCTCTGGAAATTGTCATTTTGTTGTTATTGTGCTGATAATTGACTTATTTCCCTATTGTGATGGAGACTGGCTAGAGGCATAACACACCTGTTTCCTCTTCTCCCTGGGCACACAGCCTACATTTCCCAGCCTCCTTTGCATTTAGACATGGTCATATGATTGAACTCTAACCAATAGGATGCCATCGCATGGGACTTGCCCCATTTTCCTGCCCAGCACAAAAAGATCTCTCATGGGCTCTGTCATGCTCTTTCCAGTCTATCTGCATATCATAATGCAGACCCAGAGAAGCCATTAACTTTGAGAGCCCCATGTTGAATGTGATGGAGCCAAAGGAATCTGTTCCCTGGAATCAGAAAGAGGGCAATTTGCTGATCAGCACCATCCATTTTGGATTATACTTTTGTGGAAATTTCTATTGCACTTGGCACATTGTAAATTTTTTTTATAGCAGCTAATGGTACCTTAATTAACATTTTAATCACTTGTTAATAAAAGTAAGTGCAAAACCCAAATCTCAGTTAACCAATATTTATGATGAATTGACTTTCAGGGCACCAAAACCTTAGGATCGACACAGCCAGAGTTCTCTCTCAGATTTAGAGTCAGTCACTGACAAGGCAGGGGAAAAGGTGAAGGTGCAACAAGATGGGATCAAGGTTCTTATGGCCCTTCCCAAATCTTTCCCAGCCAGAGAACAAATGCCAGTGATGAGGGAGAGGAATGGAGTATCACCCCGGTTTGGGTCCTTACTTTTGTTAAAATGTAAACCCTCAATATTACATTAAACTCTTATTTCCTGTTTAAACCGTTGTGTACAAGAATGGTCTGAGGAATAGACAAAAGTAATACTGGTCTCTACATAACATCTGTGAAACCTGTTGAGAGCTGGCTAAAAGGCAGTGTCCTGTTCCAGTGTTGAAAATAAAAGGATAATCTGAAAGAAGAGTGGCCTTTAAGTAGAGAATTGCAATATGGGAGACATAGTTCTCTCTTTCCATGTTCACTGAATGCTGAGTCCTCTGGGTGTATCAATGGCCTACTTTAATCATTCCTTTGGCATTTGGGGGTACAGTTTTGTGGATTGCAGTTAATAATAGATCAGTTAACAATTCCTGTCTTCTAGGGTAGGACTTTGGTTAGGCTGGATAAGAGGCAAAGATCCAGGGATTTAGGAAAGAGAACTAGACTTTGCCACACTTCTCTGAACACAAGAACTCAACAAAGCGATGGATAACATCCTAAATACACAATGGGAATTCTCTTCCCATAGATTGTTGGTAAATATCTGCCTGTTTGTTTGGGCTGATGAGGTGGTTTCTGCACTGTGTGAGTTACTAATTTATTCTTTGTGGATTGATTCTCTTATAGTTCCTAAAAACCTTCATGCCATGTGTAAATATTATTTGATTGTAAGTTTTACATATTTCACTGGGACTCATAATTATGTCCTAAAGATCTTTTTTCTTCAGTGTTCTGGTTCTCCTCTGTCTTTCCTATTTCCCATGAAATAGGAGCCCCTAAATTAAATGAAATTTGAAAGATCACTCATACATTTCATAATGTTATTTCTTTCTCAGAGGAGCCCAAAATGGAATTAGGAGGCCTTGATTATTGCCATTGAGTGACACTTGTGACTGATCAGGTTGACTACCCATCTGCATGATGACGGTTGTTTTATTTTTTTTTATAGATTTATTTTTTATTGGTGTTCAATTTGCCAACATGTAGAATAACACCCAGTGCTCATCCCATCAAGTGTCCACCTCAGTGCCCATCACCCAGTCACCCCCACCCCCCACCCACCTCCCCTTCCACCACCCCTAGTCACGACGGCAGTTGTAAAGGAGTAGGGAAGTGTGTTCTCTGTGAGGTAACTGAATAGTGCCCAAGAGATGTGAATTCCTTGTTCATAGAATGCATTCCAGGTGAAACATTCCACAATCAAGTGGTGTAACTGGTCTCCTACTAAGTCTCATTCCTAAACCTTCTTTCTTTATTCTCTTCTCCGTTTTCTCTTGTTATCCTAGAGGAATCATTCAGTGCTGGAGCCAGAATGATGGATATGTGAGTGTTGGCTCATCAGGGATTGCCCAGATCGTGGGCCATTCATTCAACCATTAAACATTCACTGAGTATCTAAAATTTGCCAGAAACTGTACTAAGTAGGGTGTTTTTTTAACCTAATTTTTACTGTCCTATTTTCCTTATTAACGAAAAACAAAGGTTCATTGTAGTCTTTCCTGAAAATATGAAAAGGAATAATAATATGAAATAATTAACAGTTTCACTTTCTAGAATTTATTACCTACTAACAGTTGGATGTATATTTTTCCATGGTTTTTACCATGTAATATATACTTAAGAAAAAGAGAAAGAATGCAAAATTATAATCGCACATCTTATTTTACAAACTAATTTTTCACATTAGTAATCCATTTATTTCATTTCACTTTCCAGTATTGGCTGGTTGGATTGGAAGAGGTGATCTTTCCTATCTGTGATGTAAATTTATTGCAGGATGCAATAGGGGTCCATTTGGATGGGCTATATGCTCAAATTTGACATTAAGCCAAAAAGAAAAAAAAAAAAAAGAGAGAAAAAAAAAAAGCCAAAAAGAGATGAAGGTGCAAATGATACCCAAAAGGTCCTTATTTAGAATGATTTACTGGAGAAACTGTGGCCAAGTCAGAGTCTTTTTTAATGAGTGAGAAGAAAATTTTAAGACTGAGCAGATTGAAGACTGAAACTCATCTGTGTTAATATGTGTTGGACCGAGGAGGACATGCATGCAAATACACTGTCCTTTTACTAAGTGTTTCAGATGCAAAATAAACATCTGAAGGATTTCTCAGATGTTTTCCTAAATAAGACAGGAGATAATGGGCTCATACAGAATACTCTCATCTGATTATAATCTAGCACTTCTGAGTATGTTTATTATTTACAGTTTCAGACATCAGTGTGTCAGCTACAATGTGAATTATTTAACCTACATTATTTTATTTAAAGAGTGCTATACAGTAAAAACTTTTGCTCTCATCTTAATGTTGAGGATATCCAAGCTCATAAAGATTAGGGGATTTACCCCAAATCAAACAGCTAGTGTATAACAAATCCAGGAGGCAAACTAAAGCTGCCTGACTCTGAAGCTTGGGTTCTAAGACTATCTCATGGTGCTGTCTCTGCCATGTGAAAAGGACACAAACTATATCGAATGAATAAATGAATCAGCTTATCTTACAGATGGATCTTAATAAATGTTAATTGACTGGGAAACCACAGCTCCTTCTAATTCTCTCACCAAATTTGATTCTCCACATCAAATGAGATAGTAAATTACACGTAATGAACTTGCTGGCCAAACTATAGTTCCAAGTTTTTGAGACCATCGGAGCTTTCTTTGGGACAGCAATGAGACTGGGTGAGAAATTACTGGAGGCCAGCCTCTCTCGATACAACATTTTCGCCTCAAGTTATCATCGAGGCATCAAACCCGGGAACTCTCCTTCTCAGACTTTCTGTCCATCAACAGGTTGGAGACAAGAGGCCAGGATTTGGCGCAACACTGCTGTTCAGAATTTCTTGACTTGGACTGTTTCTCTGGACCAGTCTTTTTACCTAACTTGACAATGAAAGGGTGGCTCAAAGATGGCACAATAGAGGTTTTTGGAGATTCTTTTGTCTTCCCTTGACTCTCAATAAAAACAACAAAGAAATGAAAGAATGTGAGTTGAAGACTTCAATGAAACTAAGGAGTCTCCAAAGACCAATCTTACAACTGCCAAACATGATGATGCCTGGGCTAAGGAGAAGAAGTAACCTTATACCTTGACCTTGAACAGAATGACAGTTATTCAAAGAGCAAAGGTCAGTATCCCAAAAGGCCTATTCTACTTGCCTTTGAATGAGTCACAGATGTAGGGTAATGGAAGGGCCTCAGGAGAGGTGACACCTATCCCCTGGAGACTCATTTCAATGCTGCAGAACAGTATGAAAGAGAAGCCATGCCAGTGAATCATTTCTTTTTTTTTTTTTTAAAGATTTATTTATTTATTTATTCATGATAGACATAGAGAGAGAGAGGCAGAGACACAGGCAGAGGGAGAAGCAGGCCCCATGCTGAGAGCCCGACGTGGGACTCGATCCCGGGACTCCAGGATCGCGCCCCAGGCCAAAGGCAGGCGCCAAACCGCTGAGCCACCCAGGGATCCCCCAGTGATTCATTTCTATTGTCCACTGGTCAAGTGAGACTAAGGATGCAGTTTTGTTTTCTTAATACCTGCCATTATGCCTTGCTCATAGGAGGTTTAATGATCCACAGGAATAAAAGGCTTAAGTGTGGTGGGCAGTGCTGATGGACCCATAAAAACACTTAAAAGTTTGTGCTGGTTTTGAACCTCACCTCTGGCTTTAACTTATTAGGTAATGTTGGGAGGTCTATCTGAACTTTTTTAAGGCAGCATTATCGGGGTATGAAGAATGGAGAATGTGAGGTCATTTCTCAATTCTAACATCCAGACTTGTGTTCTTTTTAGAGGATGTCTGAGGCAGCTCATCCCCTGCCCAATGGAAGCTGGATTTTGCTTATTGGAAGATGACAATGGCTGGATTGCCTGGAAGAAGTCTTTCTGTGTTGGCCATGTGTTGAACTTCTTATATAAAGTGATCAAAGCCTGAGACAAAAGAGCATTCTAAATTCACATAGGAGAGAAAATCCAAAAGACAAAGAAGAGAGTTCATTACATAGTGGGCTAGGAAAAAATGACTGCAGAGAATGAAAGAGAAAGGAAGAGCTAGGGAGAAAGAAGAGAGGAAAGGCTATGGAGGAACCAAAAAAAGGGAAAGAAGAGTATGGAGAAATCAAAAGAAGAGAAGAAATTTGAGAAAAGAGCAAATGACAGAAAGAGAATCTTTATCTTGCTATTAAAACCTTGAGTCCCATGCTGACCCTGACTCTATGTATGTACAGGTAATCAATTTCCAGACCCAATTGTTTGAAGTACATTGAATCTATGAATTCTTCTTTAACTCTTTCTCTTTTAACTTCATTACTTATTTGATAATATTTATTGAACACTATTCAGGTACCAGGCACTATTCTAAGTGTTTTAATAAGCAATGATGAGAGTTCTGAGATTTTTTTTCATTCTAGCATGTGTGTCTATGTGTCTGTGTGTATGTGAGTGCATGTGTACCATTATCATCAGCAGCAGCAGCATCAAAAACATGATCACCATATGATGTCATCATTATAATTGCATAACCACCTTTTATGCATTCCTCATTTGAGAATGGAAAATTATTTTTATAAACTTATCACATTGTATGCTTCCAATATTCCTGATGAGGCAGAGATTACTGTCTCCATTCTGAAGGTAGAAGAACTAAGGCTCACCAAAGGTAAATGACATACTATAGGCCACATAATTAATAAATGAAAGACCTGAGATCAGAACTCATCCTGACTCCTCATCCAGTGCTCTTCTCACTGTGTGGATGGGAGGTCAGTGTTGCTGACATACACTGAAAAGGGCTAAGACATTATACTGCTAAGAGATGATAGTGCATGGTGGTTGAGAGTAGACCTGCATTCAAACAACCATCACTTCTTAGCTGTTTGACTTGGGCAATGACCTAGCCTCCCTGAGTCTCTGTTTCCTCATATATAACTTAGGAGTTATTTTAGCATCAACATCACTGGATTTCTGGAAGTATTAAATAAGGTAATGCATGGAAAGTGCTAGCCCATATGCCTGATACAGAATAGGCACTCAATAAATGTCAGCTCTTCTTATTGTAGATTCTGCCACTCTGCTGGACAATGGGATGTGGCAAAGAGGGCAGCTCAGGGCACACACATGTTGGTGTCCTCAAGCACACCATTGATTGAAGATTCATTTGCCTGCCACTCACCCTACTGAGCACCCACCCAGGGATCTAAGAGAAGCCGTTACTTATTCTAGCCAGGGGGAGTTCGCTGCCACTTGACTTGACAATTGTGTAATGGGACTTGACCCATGCTAGTTGCAACTCCTTGATGTCATGTACTCTTGAAGATCTTTTCTTTCCTGAGGACCTGAGATTTAGCAGCCCATGAGAAATGACCCAAATGTATTGTGCATGTTTTTGTGCCATGTAAAAACATGTTGGGGATGGAACTGGTTGAGGAGAAAGGAAAAAGAAAGCAATGTGAGTGGAAACTATGAGATCATAGGATCTTGGCTTTGCAAATCAATTTATTAACCCTGTCTCTTGAGCAATCCTAGCCTTTGTGAAACTGGCCTTGATGGAACCTTGATATGATGTTGAAATGGACCAGGGACTTGAGGTCTAACAGATTAGGATTTATATATAAATATAATTTAATTTGTAGAATTACCCTGCAGGGTATCCGTTATTACCTCTGTTTTATAAATGAGAAAACCAAGGCTTACACTCTTTTGGGATGGTTTGAACTCAGTTCTTTCCCTTCTTTCTTTCCCAAGGTGGTCATATCTAGTCACCTGTCAGACTTATCACCTACATAGTGAAAAGGTCAAAGTCTATCCTACCTGTCTTCTCCTTTGCACACTGGGTTCATGTATCTAAATGCCTACTTGAGATTTCTATGTAGATGTCTAGTAACCATTTCTAACCTATTATTTCCAAACAGAACCCATGAATCCCTTTCCTGGCACCCTCAGCAATGTTCTGTTGACCCAATCTCCATATTTTATTGATTGATACCATCATGTGTCCAGTTCCTTAGGCCAGAACCTAGGGATATTCCTAGATTTCACAAATTCCCTATCCCTTACATCAACTCTTGAAGTATGATAGTTACAGTAGAAAGTGATGCTTGTTACATATGCCTTGAACATTTTTTCTAAATCTTACTGCTTTGGTCCAAATAAACCAAAACCATTCTATTCTATTCTATGCTCCATTCTCACCAACCTTAGGCACTGTAATACCTTCCTAATTGGTTTCCCACCTTCCTGCACCCATCTATAATCCATTCTCTACAAAATTATCAAGTAGAAAACAATTTCTTTCTCTGATTTGCTTACCATCCTCAAATGGCTTCTTTGATACTGAAAGCAAAATCCAAGCTCCCTACACTGAGACTACAAGATCCTTCCTGATCTGCTTACTGAATATGTTCTGGATTTCATTTCCTACCACTCTCTTCCAGGCACACTGTGATCCAGTCAAATGGGTTTTCTTTGTTTTTCAAACACCCCAAGTTTTTATCATGTTCAGGGCTTTGTATTAGCTCTTCCCTCCATCTGGCTCCTATGGCCTCGGATCCTCATTGTGGGCTCCTTCTTATGGTTCCTTCTCAGTTCAAACATCACTTTGTCAGGGCCAATGTTGGCCACCAATCTGAGTGGCTCTTCCAAGTAGAATGTAAATTCCAGAGGAGCAAAGATAGTGCCTTTTCCTGTTCACTGTCATGTCTACATTGCTGAGCATGTGGTCTGATATGGACTAAGTGCTCAATAAATATTTATTGATTGAATGAATGACTGCCTTTATAAAGCTTCTGTGATTGATTCAGTTGGGTATTAAAGGGGAGGGGAGTCAAATGAATGTATATATATATATGTGATAAATAGTGTCCCAAACCCAAAGTAGGGTTTTTCAAAAGTTTTATTACTTTGGGTGAATTTTGGAAGAAACCAAAATAAAAAACAAAAGCTTCCTTCTCTCAATGTTCTCATCTTGGTCTTGTACACCTTGCTACAGATGATAAAAACAAAACACAACTTAAAAACAAGACATTCTAAACAAGTGTGTCTCAGGCGTGTGGTTTTTCTTGGGTGGGGAGCTCTAAAAGGGCAGGGCCCAGGCTCACGCCTGATAGCTGGACCAGCTCACTCCTCCCTATGCTCAGCCTTATGTACTCATCTCCACCAAGGACCCTAGTTTATCAGCTCCTCTTTTCAGAATGCCCTGCCTGTCCTTCCCTGTCCACATCTGATCCACCCTCAGTCTGAGGTGTATTGCATCCTCATCCCAGTGGCCAGGTGAGCATAGTTAATGGCTCTGGGTTAAAATCCTGGCTTTGCTAGTTACTTGGTGTGTAATTCTGAGCAAATGGTTTTTTTGCTTCAGTGTTCTCATATGTGGAAAGGGGATGATACAGTATCTATCTCCCAGAATGTTTGCAAAGAATAGATGACCTAATACTTGTGAAGCAGTTGGTATATTGCTATTTGCATGCTAAGTGTGCTCCTAAGACTTAACATTACATCCCATCTGCACTAACCCTAAAACACGACATTTTCCTAAATCATCTGGTTCTTGGAAATGTAACTATTCAATTTGAAACAATTAGTTTTTATTCTAAATCACCAGCTGTATTATATATGTGTTTCCTTCTTCTGTACCAAGAAGTGGGTTTTTTTTTTTTTGAGAGCAAGAACCATATGACACAGAAGTACAAAAGCACTTTTTACCTTTTTTCTTAGAATGTTCCTAAGCCCAGACTAATAATAACTGCTAGCATTTGTAGAGAGCCTCACATTTTGCTGCTGCTACTACTGTTATTACTACCACTATCAATACTACCCCTCCTAATGCTACTATACTACTCCATTACTACTTTTGCTATTACTCTTGCTAGTATTGCTATTACTGCTATTACTAACACCAGTCAACATTGGATACTTACTGGGAAAGGCAATACTGTATGTACTTTACATTTGTTACCTCACTTTGTAAATACAATAGCCGGTGGGTGAAGGAGGAAGTGGACAAAGTGGTTAGAAATGCAGCTTGGAGGCTTTGAATTTGGATTCCAATAAGATTATTAGCTGTGTGATTCTGTAGAAGTTACTTAACCACTCCATGTCTCTATCTTAAAATAAGGATATTAATAATAGAACACAATCAATGAGATCATGTAAATGAAAATTTTTGATAATATCTGAATAGTACCTGGGAATTAACAAGCACTCAAGTTATTATTGATATTAAAAACATTTCTGAGTGTACTTAGAGATTATGTGTCCCCCCATTGTCCATCCTCTCTGCCTCCCAAACATTGTGCTTTTTGCACATCTAGTTACATATCCTTTAGGACCGAAATAGTCTTTTACTTCTTGGATTCTCCTACAAACTTAGATACTTCTTTAGAGGGGGGTAATGAGCCATATTCAGTGCTGTGTCCATATCACCTAGCATAGACCTGGAACATGGCTAAGTTTTCAATAGACACTTGTTGAATGCATAAAGGATTGAATTTTTGGGTCTGTATTGTGAACCAAATCTTACGGTAACTTGTTATAATATTTAACACACATAACAACCTCGTAAGACATTCCTTCCCTTGTTCTACAGGGGGAAGGGTCTCATTTTCCCCATTTTATGGGTGAGAAGATGGTGACCTGTGATGGCATGTAAACTGATTAATCAAACAGCTTTTTTTTCATCATTTAAAAATTTATTTTATTTTATTTAAGGTCAATTAATTAACATATAGTGTATTATTAGGTTTAATCACTGAACTCTATTATTAGGTAGAATTCAGTGATTCATCAGTTGCATGTAACATGTTACATATGCCCATCACCAAACTATCCCATCCCCCCACCCCCTCCCCTCCAGCAACACAATGAAATATTACTCAGCCATAAAAATAAATGAAATCTTATCATTTGCAATGACATGGATGGAATTAGAATGTATTATGCTAAGAGAAATTAGTCAATTAGAGAAAGACAATTATCATATGATTTCACACAAATGTGGAATTTAAGAATCAAACATTTTTTTGGGGGGAGGGGAGAAGACTCTGGATCCATAGCTTTAGACTCTATACACTTACATCTATAATATAGACTTAATAAATACTGGGTAGATTCAATTACAGTTTGGGAAACTCAATGAATATTCTTTTTTTAAAAGATTTTTTTATTTATTCATTCATGATAGTCACAGAGAGAGAGAGAGAGAGAGAGAGAGAGAGAGGCAGAGACACAGGCAGAGGGAGAAGCAGACTCCATGCAG